TGCTGTAATGTTTGATGTTTATTGGATCAACCTTTTCTAATAAGGGTTGAATTCTGTATTTCAGGTTAATTTATCTCTAATGAAAGTTGTCGTTTCTGATTAAAAAAAAAACATGCTACACATGTCAATTATCAATGCATGAATGCAATACAAATATACTATAGTGAGAATGTGAGATACAGATTTGAGAGTTGAGACACTATAAATGAAGATGTCATGTTTATCAGTTTCAATTTATGGAATATGGACACATTTTAATTCTAAATTCTTAAGAAATTAAATTATAAAATCTAAAAAGACATGAGCTGCTTGATAACATAATTTCGAAGAAAATAAAATACAAACAAGAGAAATGAAAGGGAAAAATAATGGGGGAACCCCTGTTTTCATGTGTAAAGGAAAAAGAATAAAAGCTGAACTGAAAACTTGTTTTTTGCATAAAAGGGTGAAACTAATAGAGTTTAGCCCCTATTTTTATGTAAAAAAACATGGACTTAGTTCAGCCGAAGCCTCTATTTTTTTGCATTGAAAAAGAGGTAAAATACCCCTGTTTTTGAACTCAAAAAAAAATGAAAAAAACAAGATAGGGATGCAGCCTCTATTTCCATTAAAAAAAGGTCAGAAAAAATGGGGCAGAGCCCTTGCTTTCATTCAAAAGAAAAAAATGAATGAAATCATTTTGTTTTTTAGTGCAAAAAGGAAGGGAAAAAATGGGGCGGAGCCCTTGTTTTGTCCTCAAAACAAGAACAAATTCTTGAAATAAGAAGGGCAGAGCCCCTGTTTTTGGTGTTTAAAACAAAAAAGAAAAAGAAAAAAGAAATCGAAAAAATAGTAGTAGAAATCATTTGCAACAAAAAATAGTAGAAATCGAAAACTAAATAGAATTCATACCTTTTGGCGCAAACCAGTGATTTGGAGTTTCATGTTCACAATGGAGGGTTTGGTGTTTCTCAGCCTCCTACCCTAGATTTTCCTTCTATGGCAAGTCTCTCTCGATTGATGAAAGGAGCTATTTAAGTTTTTATAATAAAAATGAAAGTACTAACCCTTATTAAACAGATAAAATATTAAAAGGGGGAAGGACTAAATAGTCTTTTCCTCTTAAAATAGGCTTTCAACATAAATCAGTTGAATTGGATATGAATCGTGATTTACGATTCAAACCAACAATTTGGTTATAAACATAGTTTTCAAGGCACCAAGGTGAGGCTAGGCGATAGGGGGCACCTTGTCGCCTAGGCGATGGATTTTTTTTAAGTAAAATCATATATCCTAGGGTAGTTCCCTAGGTTCCATAACCATCTTCCCTTGCTTATTGGTCAGGTTTTGAAAATTTTGAGGGTTCAATCAAGGATCAAAATTTTGATACAATATGCCTTGTATCGGGTGTATTATTGCATCTTTGGGGTCTTGATACCTATTTACAGGTGTTTTTGGGGACCCATTTTTAAAATATATATATTTATATATATATATATAAATGAAATTGAAAACCAAAGAAATAAAAAAAATAGGGGGAGTATCGTTATAAGTATCGATACACCTTGCCAATACACAGGTGTATCGATACTTTGAACCATGGGTTCAATACAGCAGTTAGCAATGTTTGCGTTGATTAAACCCTAACAAAATAAGAAAACAATAAAAAGAAATTAGTATATAAACACATAAAATGAATATTCTAGTTTAATAATGTCTATTTTATAATTATAATGTCAAAAAATTAAAAATATAAAAGTATTTTATAACCCCGTGCACAAAACTGCTTGGCAACTGGGCGAGGCGAGCCTCCAAGGGCACCTTGTCGCCTTGACACTATGGTTATAAATCAGATGATTCATTAAAAAACTGATTAATTAAAAATCTGGATAAATACAAGTAGGATAATGAGTAATACTGTAATAGACTAATAGCCTGATATTCTTTTTGTGGTGGAAAACTGAATTACTTCTTTTCAAGACAACCCATTGCAGGAGAGCTATGGAAATACATATTGGGTTTGGAGTCTAATAGGTTACACCATGATGTTGCAGAAATAGGGTACATTATGTAGGAAAGAACTTATAATAGACTCAGTTAGATTATCATTTTCCAAATAAGAATGAGAATAATGATGACGATATAGTGGTTTTGGTGTTGATGATGACAAAAAAAAAGGAGTGGTTATGAAAATAACTGTAACTCTGTAAGTAATAAATATAGTTATAAGAATAATAGTGAAGCTAATAGTCTTAAAGCTGAGTGGCAACACATATATGCGCTTCCATGGCATGGCAAGGTGTGCTAACTTCTTTGTGATTAATACATCTGATGTAGTCTGCAAGGCCACAAACCACATGAGCATAATTGTGGATAGCGAGGCCCCGGACTGTGGGATCATGATTGATGTGGCCCAAAGCACCCAATGCTGCGATGAGGACAATAGCATACACTGTAAGAATGATGATGGTTGCGACTTGTGATGCAATCAATAATGAAGACTGCTAGGTCATGAATTGTGATGAGAATGCTAGCGCGTGCAACAAGACCCAAGTCCAAATACGATTAGTAACATAGGCCATGAGATCACAGATCGTGATGGAGAAACTTGTGAAACTCACAAGGTCCAAGATTATGCTAAGATCGCATAATTTAGCGAAAAGTGAGATCATAGAACAAGCCCTATTGCAAAAGAACTAATAAGAATATAAGGTCGCAAGTTGCGAGATTGCAAAGAAGGCTATGGGTAGGTCCGAAGCAAGGTCGCCACTTGCTGTATCACACTATGATTTCCTATTGCAGTCCCACTCATTGCTAGATTGCAAAGACCACGATTTCCTATTGCAGCCTCACTCAAATCACGAAGATGGCAAGTTTGCAACCCAAGCTAAGGGGGCAGGATAGGAGCAAGATTGCACCCACACGATCCAAGAAAGCCAATGTGTCTCAGGTTGAGACACGTCACACATCGTGTCAGTGAGTTGACCCACCAGCGGATGTCTCGCTGAGCAATCACCTGACAGCTATATCACATTATCAGACTCTAGCAACTGCCAGTTTCTTATATTTGTCTGCTTGATTCAACTATCCTTTTGTTTATCTATTTTGGTATAATGATTGGGTGCCTAAGGTTGTAATCTTTTCCTCTCTCTTGACATTATATAAGCCAGGCCGAGCATTGTAACAGATCACCTTTTGAATATTGAATGTGACTTGGTGTTTTGCCTCAGGGCATCTTTGGTTCTACTTCTCTCTTGTTGGTTTCATTCTAGAGCCACAGAAACCCCATACCTTACTACCTTATGCTATGACAGAGGTTAAGGTCACTGCCTTTGTAGGTTGCAAAACTTGGAGGTTAGTGTTATTTTTCTATGTCGGTCATCAATTGTTGCAGTGTCCTTTGCTGCCGCTGGTTATTCTTTGTGAGTCTTCCTCCATTAGAGAATACCAGCTGCATCAAACATCCAAGTGAGGGGTAGGGAGACTGAAGTTGTATTTGGATGTTTCAGCCTCTACCAACTGCAAGTTTCTTTATAAGCTTATATTTGTCTGCTTGATTCAACTACCCTTTTGTTTATCTATTTTGGTATAATGCTTGGGCCTCAAAGTTTGTAATCTTTTCTTCTCTCTTGGCATTATATAGCTAGGCTGAGCATTGAAACAGATCACCTTTTGAATATTGAATATAACTTGGTGCTTTGCCTCAGGGCATCTTTGGTTCTACTTCTCTCTTGTTGGTTTCATTCTAGAGCCACAAAGACTCCATACCTTGCTAACTTCTGATAGGGCAGAGGTTAAGGTCACTGCCTTTGTAGGTTGCGAAACTGAGAGGTTAGTGTTATTTTGTCACTTTGGTCATCAATTGTTGCAGCATCCCTCGCTGCCGCTAGTTATTCTTTGTGAGTATTCCTCTGTTAGAGAATACCAACTGCATCAAACATCCAAGTGAGGGGTAGGAAGATTCAAGCTGTATTTGGGTGTTTCAATCTTAGGGTTGATGCTTTACTGTATCCGCTGCACCGTTTGATGTTTGTATTTAATCCATGAGGTTTTTAGTTTGGATTTCATCTTAAACAGGTCCAAGTCTTTGCTTTTATTTCATATGCTCTATTCACTGTCAATAAATATCTTCATATTGATTGGAAAATTAATTTCAAAAGTATGAAAATTGGTTGCAAGATCTGCAAGAAATTGTTGAACATCTTATGATTTACAAGAAATTTAGATAGCTAAGTTTCATGAGTTTAAATAGACATGATTGTTTCTCAGAAAAGAAATTCTGGCTCAAGTTAAATGAGCAAATGGCAATAATTCATCTTTCTGTCTTTTTTGATGATAAGGTAAACCTGGAAATAAAAACTCCAAGAGAAGAGTTATGTTCTTCAGTTACAATTTTTGCCTCAAAAGTAGAAAGCATGTATAATATTTGGTTTAAAAGTAAATACTCGAGAAAATTTCTTAATTTTGACTTATTAACATAAGAGATTAACGTTCAACAGATACAGTAAGGGGAATGATAAAAATAGCACAAGTAACCTAGAGAACCCAAAACCAAAGTAGAATAACTAAAATAACCTAAAAACAATGATTTTCCATCACTGATCCATATGTTGTCCTTACTTTGCTTATATCTCTCCTACATCATGTTGAAGATCCTGTGATAGTAATTGAGGTATTTGAACATGTTTTGAGATACAAGTAAGTTGACAGTCTTAAAAATATCTCAAGTTTTCTGTTGATTGATGTCTTTATCAATTATTCTATGAATTTGGGCATGGTCTAGGCATCTTTCTTGCATCCTGCCTGCATAAAAGATATCTTGATTCATGGCCTCAAAGTTTGTGACAATCTCAAAGTTTCTTTTGCAGCACGTGAGGCTCATAAAAGTATCAACTGTCCATTCACAGTTCGTGAACTCAATGAGGATGATAGACTGTTGACCTCAATTTCAATGAGGGGTATGTCATCCAATGTTTTCCTTCTTTCTTGAATTTGCAAAAAGGTGAAACGTAGGTGTTGCAAAATTTCAGTAATAGAAGAAGTAATTTGCATGACCATAGCCTCTTTGCCTATCATCTGGTGTGATAATCTAATTGGTAAATATCATCATTGTCAAAATGAATTATGATATGGTAAACATATCTATGGCAGTGCTTTTGGAGTCCTTACGCTTAACTAATTTGTACTAAACTAAAAAATAGTCTTTAATTAGGACATGTAAGTAAATTTTGATGTACCTTAAATAAATCATGCTCCACCTTGTCATCTTACCCAGATGAAGAATAAGCACTTCCATGCTTATTTCCTAGGATGATACAAAATCTTCTAGTACACAAGACCAAGTATATGTTTAGTTTTCCATGCACCAGTCACCTCTCTTTGGCTTCGGGGCACTCCCTTACTATTTGCCTCTAGAAGGTAGAGACATTTCACATTTCTTTATACTAGGAGAGAATTACTTGTGGCCTTTTACTTCATGTCTCAAAATCCTGATATTTTCAAGTATCCCATATATCAGAAAATGCTTGGAAACATGAGAAGAATGGCAAGGGGCAAGAGACAAGACTCTTTTTTTTCTCTAAGCTTTATTTATTTATTTTTTGGATCAGAATTCTTTTTTGTTTGTTTCTGTAATGAAAGTATGGAACCTGAATGATTGGTATTATTGATTTACCAGATCTAGAACCTCCTTATCCGAGACCAAAGACAGATACAAGAACTGCTCAGAGGCTGATTGCTCAAGGAATTGGACAAAAGCTGTTGACAACCTTTGGGTCAAGTGAGTTGGGGAAACAAGAGGAAGCCAGGAGGGACCGCATAGTTACAAGGCAAAACTTGAGAGATGTAGCATGGGGTTCTGACTAAACCTAAGACCATGTTACATATCTGAGTCTTCTCATACCCAAGGTTCATATTTCACATTTTTTTTTCTGTTCAATACTGCCTCAGATAGGTCCTTAAACAATTTGTAAGATTGTGCTGTGATGTCAATCACTGTGAATTTATATGATCTGCAGTTCTATGCCATCTATAATTGGTGTTCATTGTGTATTGAAATTGTTCATTACTTGAAGAGAATATGATGAATTACCAGTTTCATTAGTTCTTTAACGTGTGGTTTTTCAACTGAGCATGGTTCTATCAGTCCTCTGCTACTTTGATATTATTTGTGGTACTGTCAGAAATGAGCTGAAGTAGGGTACACACACATAACTTGGAGATTTGGATTGTGGGAGTTGCACGCCCAAACTCAACAATTCTTTTGTAACTTGAGAGCTTGGAATACATCCTGCAAAAGTGGATTTCCATCAGTTTTCAGGTTATTCTCGTTATCCAAATGCACATAAAGGCTGCACCAATCACAAATTTCAGATCTTTTTTTTTATTTATTTTTGATTTTTTTTTGTTCCAGCAAATGCATCCACTAAGAGCAATTTGAATGTCTGATTGAGCAATTTAACATTGGCGCAATTTAATGCGTGGGAGGAGAAAAGAAAAGATTCCAGGTGATTTCTTCAATAACATCATCATCATCTCTCTCTCTCTCTCTCTCTCTTGTGTGTGTGTGGAAATGAACGGTGCAAGGGAGGACAAAGGAACCTTGAAGGTGCTCTGCTTCACCCGGTTCCGTTGGAAGTAAGTAACTGCCATTGACCAGGGGAACAAAGGTGGTCTAAAATCGTACTAAGTGAGAAAATTTGGTCTTCCATTGCATCCACGGAATGAAACTATGGTTAGGCAAATCGGTATGCTTTATGGAAGTTATTTGGGCTGGATAACTCTCTTAGAGTAACAGAAATAACAGCACGGATTTAGATTAAGACTATGGAATGATTACTTGCCAGCTGAATTGGGGCCGGGTTTATAAAGTGTTGGCTGGACAAAGCATTGAACAAGAGGTAGTAGCATTAGTTCCTTGAAGTGCTGATTGGCCCCAAATAACATATTGCAGTGGATGAAAACGAGGGTCAGCCTGATCAACAGAGCTTTTACATTGTGTCAATACGTAGGATGGTTGTGTCAATAGGGTTATGATGATGATAGGAGGAACCGGGGAAGGAGAACCTGAACCGTCAAGGGTCTTTCTAGTTTACAAGTGTTGTCCTTGTGAGCAAGAAACATTGGGTAAAAGAAATTCAAATTTCAAATCAAAAGGGGATGATCTAAGAAATAGTAGCTACATGAATTCTGGTTTTGCCATTCCGATGTTTGAAAAATCTATAGGTGAATTAAAATAATCAAATGGAGGCATGTTGACCGATAAGGGAAGGATATTGATGTTAGAGACCGGATAGGGCATCATTTCAACCACCAAGTAAAGATTAAAATATCAACACGACACGTCTAATGGGGCATATTAGCATATCGTATTGGTATTAGATTGCACTGACACGGGATACATTGGAGTGCAGGTGTATGAAGTTCGGCTTTCATCATGGCAAAGTCCGTATGAGCAGTCTTTATATCCTTGCATTGAGAATATCTCCATACTTATGTGTTTTATTTCATGAGGAGATATTTCCAATATGTATCCTGCTAGTCAATACACCTCACTATAAAAAGGAGGAATGGTGTAAATTGAACCCAGGTTGGTTAATGCCAAAAAGAGCAAGTACCTTTAATCACAAAATCACTTCTTATTTCATGTCAATAAATGTAAGGAACTAATTTTTATTAAAACTAATGTCTACATGCAAACAAAAAAAAATAACATACATTTATTTTCAACAACTCCAACTACAAATTAAAAAGAACAATATTTAAAATTAGTATTTTATAAATTAATAGAATAAATAATTTATAAAATCCACATATATATATATATATATCAAAAATTGAATTTTAATTTAAAAAAGTTATACAAATAAAATATTAATAATAGAGTAATTATATTAATACTTAAAACTGATAAATTTGCACATAATATATATATATATATATCTTAAAATTTTCATTAATTATTAATTAACATTTTAATTTGCATTAAATAACAATGTATTTATTATTTATAAAAACGAAAATATTTTCTGCAAAGTATTTGAAAATATAATATAAATTGAATTGATCAAATCCATTAATCTACATTTTATATAAAAAATCATTTTTTAATTTAGAAATTATATAAAAATAAAATACTAATAATAGAATAATTATTTTAGTAATTAAAATTTATGAATTTTCATATGATATGCATCTTCAAAATTTGAATAGATTTGATATATTTTAAGTTAAGATCAGATATTTTTATAAATTATTAATTGATATTTTAATTTACATTTTATAATAACATATTTATTGTTTACAAAAATAAAAATATTGTTTACCAAACATTTAAGAATTAATTTTTAGTTGAATTTTTTGTTAATGCTAGAAAATAAAAATAGTAAAAATAGAAAAATGATATAATAATTCAAACATAATAGTTGTATATGTTTTATGCCTTATACTTCAACAAATAATAAAATAATATTGGATTTTTGCATGTATTAATTTATAAAAATCTATATAATATGTGCCTTGGACTCTTGATTGATGCATTATTAATAAAATTGAATAATATCTATGTCCTGATATATTAATTATAATATATTTCTTCCTATATATCATTTGCATATACAATTCCTATGTATTTATACATTATTTATAGTTATTTTTACATTAAATTTAATGTTATTAATATATTTACAGAATTTGTATGCATTTCCTTAACGTATCTAAGTGTTTACATATTTTTCGTTTGCATCCATGTGTTTTTCAAACGTATTCGTTTTCGTATCCATGTCTAAATTATCCGATACGATACCCGATATTAATACTTTGATCAGTGCCACCAAGTAGAAAACAGCATGCGGCCCCAGTCAAGTACAAAGTGAAAAATTGCTAACAAGAAAGAATAGGGAGGAAGTTTGGTATCAGAACGTTCGACTGAAAGGAAATCAAGCCCAATAAGTAAACTAAGCTGAATAAAGAAGCCACCCAATGTATTATTCACTTCACAATTGCCCTATCAAAGATCGACGTCTATTTACTCTTCTGTTCCTTGCCTGACTTGAGTGATAGAGATTCCACCTTAATCCGGGTCTCTGACATTTTCTGTGCCTGTAGGTTACTAGAGCCTTAGATCTTCCAAATCCATCGTTGTCTTGTTGGAGATCTTGGCAGCAACAAGTGCAATTCTTGATGTAGCAAATAGTTCGAATCTAACTTCAAAGGCAATTTGATTGAATGTGGAAATGGTATACTGCAATTGCTAAGTTTGTTAATGGGAGATGTTATTAATAGTTCAATAATCTAACCCACATCAATTCAAGCTGAGTTGGTGAGGACGCAAGTTCGATTCAACCAGTTAGGAAATGGAATTACCATTTACAGATGAAGTTGAATTAAGAGATGGAAAGGCATATAACCAAAGCGACAGTATCGAAGGCAGAGATGAGAATCTTCCCTAAATCAATGGTGTTTAGAGACTAGGGAGTTGGATTATAGTAACAAAAGTGGGGTTTGCTATCACAAAGCCAATATTTTGAAAAGGAAGCAGTGGAAGTGATTCAATTAACAATAATACTACTGGATATATGAACTTAAGGAGAAGACACTGCAACACCATTCCCATCACCTGAATGCATATCATAATATGGTATTGGTGGAAGGCAACACCATTCACAAAACTTGAGGAAGTATCCACGTGGAAAATGTCAAAACTCCTTAGCATCAAAAGATTATTTTGGGGGTTTTGGTGTAAGGTTGGGAATTAGGAACTCAGCATATATAATCCACTTCCTCTACCTACTCTTAATGCATTTTTATCAGCAAAGTCAACCCCAAGAAAAATTAGGATATCTGATCCAACATTTTACTTTTGGCGTTTGGATAATGATCATGTTAGTTTGTAATTTGTCGATATTAACCACCTTTGGTAAATTTACACTTGGCATTTGACAAAAGGAATGATATACAGGAAAGGCTTGTGACCCCCTTCACAGTTAACCTACACAAAGGAACAAGCAGATATAGATATCATGATATTCATGGATGGGTTTGTAATACCATGAATGTCCCCTAACAATGTGAACCTTCTCTTGGCAACCTTGGACCGGTAACACCATACCTCAAAAGCCTCTGTCAGATCTGGGTTATTGAATGTACTCGCACCCCAGCCATTCGCTCAAGATTTCTGCCTGGTCCCCCGATGGCAATGCAAGTATGATTGAGACAAATGCTGATTCTAGGCTCTGCCATAATTCACCATCTACCGTAATTGATGGGATATCTTCACCATTGTTTCCACTGGAATCAAAGAAAGGTTTTGTCCCCCTTACAAATGGAAGCCATACCTTCACCACCTGAAGCCATTTTGCTGCTACTAAGATCAAATTGCCATATGCAATTGCCTCTAAAACCTTAGCTGCAACTTCAATAACCWTCAACTTGGTCTCARGTATGTCCTCATTTGGGCTTGCATCTTCTACTGCCTTGATGATCTTCTCTGATGATCCCATCCAACTCTGAACAAATTCCTTCATGGATTCCATCTTAGACAAAATACGGCAGGCCTATGCCAGATTTGATAAAAGTGATTGCAGTACCAGTATCTTCCCTGCCCCGTGTACCAACTCCTTGGGCTCACATAACAAAGATTGTACGAGATCATAGGATCTGGTCAATAAATTGTTCATACAACCCTTCACCTCAGATTGTATCTCATCATCGACTGTTAGCAGAGGCACATCATCATCCTCAGTGAGCATATACTCAAGCTGCTCTTGGGCTGAACACTTGAGATCATTCATAGATTGAGGAGGTGACGATGTRGCAAACCGGATAGCAGAGAGAAAARTTCCTYTGAYAGCTATTGGATCAACAGGTTGGAGACRGGMAAGTATTGATTGAGCATCTTCTGAACCCAAGTTTGRTATAMTTTTTAGAATCTCCTCCTCCTCAGCCTCCTCCCATGGAACTGCTTCAAGGTAGTTTACACAGGCACRGAATATCYCTTGGCAACCGAGCTTGWTCGACACTTGAAGAATGCCAATGGCATTCCTAACACCATTCCAGTAGTCAGGAACTAGACCATCTGTAATGACATAGAGAAGGCGYAAGGTACTGACATGATAGTTGAAATCAGATTCTTGACAGTACACCTCAACACAGTTACGAGAGTCCAGGATCTGGCATGTGGGCCAATTCTCAGAGAGGCGGTSAGCGAAGTACTTGCATTTCTGTACAAGAATTTTTGTGTGACAGTAGAACCACTCATCTCTACCTTCATGGGTCCGCAGCCTCACTATAACATCACTAGTTGAGCGGTCGCCAATTCGTCTTTGGACCTGTACTTTATCCTGCAATAATAATGCAAGTTCCTCACGTGAAACTAGAAAGTAGCTATTGAATAACTAGCATACAGGCAGAATGGTTTAAATGAAAACAGCAGAAATAAAACGTAACTACTTTACAAYTGACTTTTTTTTTGGTGCTTTACAACTGACAAWTCAAMATACACTTGGGGGRCAAAAGACAACCATCTTCCATTTCCTTGCCTCCAAAGTTCAGGAATTAGTGGTTCTCACAAGAACTGAATACATCTGGCCTCGTTAATACTAACAAAGTTGTATATAATGGTATTCCTAAGAACTTTGCCAAAAGGCAGCTCACAAGGAAGAAAACTGAACTATTTTTTGTGGGTGGGTGGGAAGCAACAAGTACAAGTGATGAGAGATTTTCCCAATCAAGATGACAAGATCATTGTTGAAATTTCAGAACTCTAATTAAAAAAGAAAAAAAGAATATGCAGAAGAGTTTTGCTTTTCCATGTGGCAAGGAGCTCTAGACTGAAATTTTCCAGTGAACAGAAATGATGGAAATTGTTGAAATGAAATGAGACTATGAGAGTGATTGAGTGAAGGGAATATTCATCCATGTAATATTTTATTAAAATCATGGGTAGATGGGTCATTTTATGTATCTTTATTTCAAATGATWTAAAGCTTAAAGAAGTGGGGCACCATATGGTTCCCCTCTTCCTTTCCAAAACCTTTCTTCCTTCACTTGTTTTCTCATCTTTTATCATTAGATCTCCATTATAGCAAAAAAAGTTCATATCAGAACATTATTGGAGATCCAAATTAATAAACAAAAGGAGTGGAGCATTACTGTAATTACAGGCCAGTTGCTCCTTTGCCTTGAGAAGTTTGATGTTCTTCTCTTGATTAATGAAATAGTTTCAGTTGTTGCTTATCAAAARWGAAYTACGTGATTGAGATCCAAATCAGTTTTCCATAAGAAGCTCATTGCGCAAAAGGTTCAGACCTAATATCACAACCATCACTTTATACTGTATGCATTTGGGCAGTAGAATAGCTCTACAACATGTAAGAAAGTATAATAAGTGAATAACTATTCTTAAATCAAACAGTCAGACCATGMTGCTTTTGTAGGCATATCCTAGATGGGACCCATTAACATATTTAAGTTCTGAGGTCCAGATGGCCAGATCACAATTCTAGGTCCTACCCACACTTTGAAATTCAAATACCAACCTAAACACAGATAAACACACAAATTAGCATACGGTAGGAAGTGCCCATCTAAGTGGACATTCAAAATTTTGGGAAGCCACCCCCCCGGGTCAGCCCTAGCAACTAGAATATGGTAATCATGAAATCAAGCATGTAATTTTTTGGTGTGTTGTCCCCTGCATTTGGATCTCAATCTCATATGGGATATCATTTTTCACTATCATTAATGCTGTTCTTTTTATTTTTGTTGTTCATCCGGGAAAAAAAGGTCTCATAATCTGGTCATCTGACATATATAACCCCAACCCCATCTTTTTGTGAAAAGGTAAAGTATTTCAATTAATCCTGCAATAAATTTGATCTGATATAACCTTAAGTAGATCAGTAGATGACTTCTTGTCTCCACATTTCTATTGCACAGAACACCTCTCATTCAGCATTTTTCCCCAAACCCAGTAAACWAGCTCACAATGAATCAGTAGATGACTTGTGRTCTCCACACTTCTATTGCAYAGAACACACCTCTAATTCAGCACCTGTATACCTCTTCTGACTAAGTTATTTTCTTGTAAGSATTTTATCCAGGACTGCAGACCAGACAAAGAAAGCCAATTTAGGYGGTGCATACCTAACCCAGATCCTATTACTTGGGAAATTAGAGACTTTCTCCCTTGTCAGATTGTTGTAAAAAGATTTAATAGAGAAATCACCTGAATTCTCAAAAATCCACTTCCTTTTGTCTTTCCATGCTCCATGAATCCTAACAWTATATAGTGTTTGTAACAGATTAATTAAAGAATTGACCTCCCAATCATTCAGGTTCCTCCAGAATTGAGGATTCCATACACAACCCCCATTCTACCTATCCATATAGTCTGCCACTGTTGCATGCTCGTCCATAGCAATCTCAAAGAGATCAAGATACCTGTCCTTAAGAGGGTCCATTGCTACACCATTGATCTCTAGAAAAATACCCTTTGACCAGTGTTTTAAAAGGCATGGGAGGCATACGCACCTCCAGGAAGGGCGCCCCTAAAATGCCCTGAGGCATAAGCCAAAGCATTGATACCTACAAGGTGTACATGCCTCAAGTGCAAGAGGTGTACACCTCATACRCCTTTTTCATGAAGCATGCTAGAGGCATACGCCTCATGCACCTCATACAAAAAGACAAAAAAAAAGATGAAAGAAAAAAGAAAAGAAAGAGAAGAGAAAGAAAAAGAAAGAAAAAAGAGAAAGAAAGAAAAGAAAAGAAAAGGGAAGCAAAGAGAATGGGAAAGAAAGTTTCAGCTAGTGTTATGCATCTTCATTCTTCTTAATATAAAAGATTTTTATTAAAAATAAAGAAAAATGAGATCCTCCTTCCTCTTCTTCCTCCCCATCCCCCTTCTCTTAAGGCTTGCACCTCCTTGTGTTTGAGAAGCTTACACCTCTTACATTCTGAACTACGCCTCACACATCCAGGTTGTGGAACTCCTCATGTCACGCCTCCGCATTTTAAAACGTTGCCTTTGACCATTACCAAATTCATACTTTATTTCCTACAAGATGTGGGTGAACTTTTTGAATTGCCTTCCAAATTGAACAGCCATAGGAAGATCTTATATTYTCTATCTCCCAYTCTCWGCTACTAGAGCCATACTTGGAAATGATTAGCCTTCTCCATAGACTGTTTGGCTGCTCATTGAACCTCCACTGCCACTTTCCTAGCAAGGCAGTAYYGACTTCCTTTAGTCTTCTAATCCCCAGGCCCTCTTGAGCTTTGGATATGCAAACTATCTTCCAATTCAACAAATGACATTTGGCTTCCTCCTTACACCTCTTCCACAAGAAATCTCTCATCTTCTCTTCCAAAACCATAGCTGTTCTCGCTGGGATTGGGAATAAAGACATGTAATAAAGTGGTAAAGAAGAAAGTACACTTTTTATTAGAGTGACTTTACTCCCTTTAGACAAGCATTTTGTCTTCCAAGATGCCAACCTTTTATTAACATTTTCAATGATAGACTTCCAAATAACTTTTGATAAATACACAATAAAACTCAGCACAACAATAGGTTTATGGGCTGCAAGTGGTAAATCATATAAATGCAAAAAAAAGATCTTAATGTTTTAAATTGTTTAAAAAAAAAAACTTATAATGGATAGGAATTTTAGACATGGCCCAGAAGCTGGGCATTCTATTTTTTTTTCCTGATGAGAACAAAAGGAATTGAGGTTATGAATGAAAGTGGGCAAGCGGTGGTTAACCACAACAGTGGACTTTGATTTGGACCTCTTGTAACAATTCTATATGATTTTATTCATGTCATCCTTCAAATATAAAAATAAAAAAAAAAATGTGGGCAAGTGGGAGGGCTGCCAGAAAGACATGATACAGGAAGAGCTTTGACAAATCAAAATCCCATGTGAACTTTGACAAATACCACTTGATGTCTTTCCAGCATCATAGTCGAAGCCTATTTACAATACTATGAAGAAAAGGACAAGTCCATGCTAACATCAAGAAGCTCAAATGTTTCTGCTATTCATCTTTCCCAACCCCCCGTTTTCGTTATTTATTTTATACCATCAGTTTCTGTTTTACTTGTTCTCTCTGAACAACTGTCACCTCTCAAACAGTGATTTAACCCCAACATTTCTCTTCTATTGTTTTCTCTCTTTTTGCTTCAAATGCAATAATTTTAACAGTTTTATAGAAAACATCAATGCTAGAATCGAGTTAGCATAACCAAATACCCATTTCTACTCCTGTATTTCGAGCCTATAAGAACCCAATGTACTAAAAAGAATAAAACGAATCATCTTGGTCCTTAGGAAAATATCAGTAAAGTGCTTGAAGAACCATAACCGATTCCAAATCTTGAAGACAATAGAAGCCGTTCAAGTCTTTTAGACATAAATTTCTCACACCCCCCTTCTATTATTCTTCCACATTCATACTTTACTTAACCAGTCGATGGGTTTCAAGACTGTTGATTCAAGTGGTCTATGGAATCCTAATTTGTTAAGGGAATCTTTATTTCATCCCAGAAAGAAAGAACAAACCCTAGATGGCTCGAATCAATCAGACTAGGAGGTCCAGGACAAAAGGGGAAGATCCATAAAGAAATAAAGATGTCGGAATCTTAAACATATGGCGTAATACTTTAACCACAGAAGCAACAGAATCCGAAATAAAATACCATACAGGAGAAAGATCGAAAGCATTACCACCATCTCCTTCCTCCTCTCTGTGTTTCAGTCCGCCCACAGTGCAATGTCGATGAGAACAGTAAAGCAGTCTCTCTTGAGCGAGCACGGATCCGCTGCTGCCGTGCCGACTTCAGCAGTAAAACACGGTGCAGAACTCTCGGACTTCGCCTATTCGCGCGCGCGCGCTCTCTCTCTCTCTCCTTCAGTACTAGATTGTATCTAAACCGTCCAGATTGAATTTCAGGTTGGGTCAGTAAATGCTTAGGGTTAATGCGTGGGTCATTTTGAGTCATTCTAAAATATAAATAAAATTAAAAAAATAAAAAATACATGAAAAATACTAAAATTAAAGAAATTAATCTTAAAATTTCAAAAATAAACTAAACATTTAACAATTTAAAGAGTTCGAGTAAAGATTAAAGAGTGGAAACTTTTAATAATCTTTACTATTTTTAAAAGTACGAATAGTTTCCCTTTCTAGAATTTTCATTAGACAGGTTCTTCTCTTAAATGTCTATGTATATAAAGGGTATATATGTAATTTAATCTCTCACATATATATAATTTAATCTCCCACAACTCCAATTCATAAGCTCGCATTTTTTCTATCCCAGCCAACGAGAATCAAA